TCCGTGGTTTTGTAACTTGCCGATAGATCGGTCAAGCATCCACGAGGCATTCTTGAGGATGTTATCATCAAAGTGGACAAATTCTACTTCCCAGTAGACTTTGTGGTTCTTGATACGAAACCAGTCCATGACCCAAAAAAGCACATTCCCGTGATCCTTGGTAGGCCATTTTTAGCCACGACTAATGCATCAATTAATTGCCGAACCGGGGTGTTGGACATTGCTTTTGGAAACATGCAAGTCAAACTCCACATCTTTCATGCAACTCAACATCCCTCCAATTAGGATGATTGTTTTCTTGTGGATGTCATTGATGAAGTGGTCGAAGAATCTCTCCCCTTCATTCTAAGCAAAGATCCTCTTGAAACTTGCATGTCCCATTTTGAATTCTCAAACTTTGATGTTGATCAAGCCATTCAAGAAGTCAATTCCTTGCTTGATATTAATGCTATCATGGATGTACCTCCTTGGAAAATTCCAAAAGAACCACTTCCCCAACTTTCTACCACTCCTCCGGTCCCATCATTGTTATCTCCGCCATAACTTGAGCTGAAGCCATTCCCGGCCCATCTCAAGTATGTGTTCCTTGGTCCAAAGCAAACCCTTCCGATCATCGTTGCCTCGGACCTTCAAAAGACCAAGAGACCAACCTTTTAGCGGTGCTCCAAGAGCATAAAGAAGCTATTGGTTGGACAGTGGCAGATTTGAAAGGAATTGACCCGTCCATTTGTATGCACCGCATTCATATGGAGGATGACGCAAAGCCTACTAGAGAGGTCCAGCGCCGGTTAAATCCAAATATGAAGGAAGTGGTCATGAAAGAGGTGATCAAATTGCTAGATGCGGGAATCATCTACCCTATCTCTGATAGCAAGTGGGTGAGCCCCACACAAGTTGTGCCCAAGAAATCCGGTCTCACCGTTGTTGAAAATTCAACGGGTGAGCTCGTGCCACAACGGACTACCACCGGGTGGCGTGTGTGCATTGATTACCGGAAACTCAATTCGTCAACTATGAAGGATCATTTTCCACTTCCATTCATAGATCAAATCCTAGAAAGGTTAGCCGGCCAAAGCTTCTATTGTTTTCTTGATGGTTATTCCGGCTATAACCAAGTGGCAATCGCCCCCCAAGATCAAGAGAAAACAACATTCACATGTCCCTTTGGTACTTTTGCCTATCGACGCATGCCTTTTGGTCTATGCAATGCGCCGGCAATGTTCCAAAGGTGCATGAAGTCCATATTCTCCGATATGGTTGAAAAGTTCTTGAAAGTTTTCATGGATGATTTTTCCGTATTTGGCTCCTCCTTTGACTCGTGTCTCAAAAATTTATCTCTTGTGCTCTAAAGATGCAAAGAGACGAATCTTATTCTAAGTTGGGAGAAAAGCCACTTCATGGTCCAAGAAGGCATTATTTTAGGACATGTCATTTCTAAACGGGGAATCGAGGTAGACAAGGCAAAAGTTGAGTTGATCTTTAATCTTCCTCCTCCGAATTCCATCCGTCAAATTCGTTCTTTTCTTGGCCATGCCGGATTCTATCGTCGCTTCATTAAAGATTTTAGCAAAATCTCACGGCCCTTGTGTAATCTCTTAGCCAAGGATGTTCCGTTCAATTTTGATGACGCTTGCATGGAAGCTTTCATCAAACTTCGTACTCTCCTCTCATCGGCCCCAATCATGAAACCCCCTAATTGGTCTCTTTCCTTTGAGATCATATGTAATGCATCCGACTATGCATTAGGGACGGTTTTGGGCCAACGTGTGGATAAACTTCCGCATGTTATTTATTATGCTAGCAAAACTCTCTGCGATGCCCAATTGAACTACACCACCACTGAAAAAGAATTGCTAGCTGTGGTGTACGCCTTGGATAAATTTCGCTCTTATCTTCTTGGCTCCAAGGTCATCGTCTTTTCGGATCATGCCGCTCTTAGGCATTTGTTAGCGAAAAAAGAGACAAAACCCCGTTTAATTCGATGGATCCTCTTACTTTAAGAGTTTGACATTGAAATCCGGGACAAAAAAGGGACCGACAATGTTGTCGCCGATCATCTCTCTCGCTTACTTATTGAGAAATCTTCAGAATTCGCAGCCATCCGTGATTCCTTTCCGGATGAGCAACTTCTTCAAGTTTCACATTCTACTCTTCCATGGTTTGCGGATATTGTCAATTATTTTACGGTTGGCAAAATTCCAACTCATTGGTCCAAACAAGAGAGGGACCGGTTTTTCTCCCAAGTCAAGCATTTCTTTTGGGAAGATCCGGAACTATTCAAGTATTGCTCGGACCAAATCATCCGGCGATGCATTCCTGAAACCGAGGCCATAAGCATTCTAAATTTTTGCCGTACTCTTGCTTGTGGAGGCCATTTCAGTGCCAAAAAGATCGCTAACAAAGTTCTTCAAAGCGGATTCTTTTGGCCTACCTTGTTTCGGGATGCATACAATTTTTGTAAATCGTGTGAACGATGTCAAAAACTTGGATCCATGTCCCGAAGAGACATGATGCCCCTCACCTACATTTTAATTGTTGAAATTTTTAATGTGTGGGGGATTGACTTCATGGGACCATTTCCATCTTCTTATGGCTATGAGTACATCCTTGTAGCGGTTAATTATGTGTCTAAATGGGTTGAAGCCGAGGCTACCAAAACTGATGATCATAAAGTCGTGATCCATTTCATATAGTCTCACATCTTTAGTCGTTTTGGTACGCCCCGAGCAATCATTAGTGATGGCGGATCTCATTTCCGAAATCGTTATCTAAAATCCGTCCTTGCTAAGTATTCCGTCATTCATAAGGTTGCTACACCTTACCACCCTCAAACGAGTGGTCAAGTAGAGATTTCTAACTGGGAGATTAAGCACATTTTGGAAAAAACGGTTAGACCGGACCGCAAAGATTGGTCATTAAGGCTAAACGATGCGCTTTGGGCTTACCGGACAGCTTATAAGACATCCATTGGCATGTCACCATATCTACTTGTCTTTGGCAAAGCATGTCATCTCCCGGTAGAATTAGAGCACCGTGCTTATTGGGCCATAAAAAGGTTCAATTTTGATCTCAAACAAGCCGGCTCTAATCGTGCATTGCAATTAAATGAACTTGAGGAATTGCGTAATGACGCGTATGAAAGCGCAAAAATCTACAAGGCAAAGACTGAAGCTTTTCATGACAAACACATCGTCAAGAAGTCTTTTGCCCCGGACAAAAGGTTTGGCTTTTCAATTCCCGCTTGAAACTCTTTCCCGATAAACTCCGGTTAAGATGGGATGGTCTATACATTGTCACTACTGTCTTTCCTCATGGAGCAATCAAACTTCATGATCCTGCAAAAGGATCACACTTCAAGGTTGATGGCCAACGGCTTAAGCCTTGCATTGATGGCACAATCCCAACCCGAAAAGTTGAGGAAGTCCTCTTGACGGACCCAATTTATGAGGATTAGTTCCAACTCTAACTTCGTCTAGCTATCGACATTAAATTTAGCAAAGCAAGGGAAGAAATTCTTTCAATGTTCCAAGCTTCCCTACCTTCTCAAATTGCTCGTGCCTTGAAATTTTCTGGGAAATGGTTTCGAAAAGCCAAAAATTTGATTTTTCTGAAATGGTCTTAAGTTGTGTTCCACATTTTTAGACTGGCTTCTTAGACCTTCTCAACTCTAATTTTCATTCCCGGAAATTTCCATCGCTTTCGATCAATTTCATAGGATCTTTCGACATGGCACTCACATGCATAGCCTCTCATCTTCAATGCATTGTTGAAATGTTCTTAATCTCATCCATGCATTGAAGAAATGTTCCAAAGCTTGAAAATTTTCTCAAAATTTCCTATGCATTGGATTGGAATGAATTTGCAAAGTTTAAAATTTTTCTCCAGAAATTTCATTCATCCATGCTCTGTGTGATGTTGTAAAAGTTGGAAATTTTTCTATGCAATTTACATTCATGCATGCATCATTAAAGAAAAAAATTTCCATGAAAAATTTTCATTTTCCATGGCAAATTTCAATTTTCCATCCTTACATTCGAATGAAATGATGGCGCACAGTTTAAAATTTTGTTGCAATGCATGGTTAATGGAAGCATCATGGCCGCAAACTTTTAACCTCCAACGTTTTCATGCATGCATGCATGCATTCAATTTCCATCAAGGTCCATGAGTTCATGCATTCTTTGATGAGTTCATACATGCATGCCTTCAATCCATGCAATAACCATCCATCCTTGCAAGCTTCAATCCATGGATGGATGGTTCCATGCACTCATCTTCCATCCCTGCAAGCTCATCGATGGTTCTAGGGTTTCAAGATCAAGCTCAAGCACAACCTCTTTTAAACCACAACATTCTGAGCCTACTGACCCACTTTCGAGCACTCAAACTCCAATTTGGAGTGCTTGAGCTTCCTTGCATTTTTCCTCGAACTCTCTGGCTTCATTCCGAGCAATCTAAGCTCCAATTTGGAGTACTCGACCTTGCTTGAAGTCTTAACCCAAAGCAGCTGAGGCTACTGTCCCATCTTCGAGCACTCTACTTCCATGCTTAGAGTGCTCGACCACTTCCCTCTCATCCCAGCATGCAACCCCACACCCTGCATGCACCTTCAACTACCTCCAAACCTCTCTCTCTCGGCAACTTCAAGCTCCATCAACCATCTCTCTCTCACCCAACCAACCCACACTCCATGCAAATCATCATCTCTCGGCATTAACCTCACAAACCCGAGCCACACTCATACCCACTTCAACCCTCCCACGCATGAAACACCAAACCAACCCTCCAACCTTCTCTCTCTCTCGGCAACACAACAACAACCCAGTTCCTCAACCATGCATGCCCATGCATGCCTCCACAAACCAAACCAACCCCAACTTCTCTCTCTCACTCCCCTTGCGAGTGCTTGCACCACCTCACCACCTTGCACACACAGAACCTTGCACCCATGCATGCATCAACCTCAAATCACCCTTAACCCTATCAACCATCTCGGTTACCTCACCCACAAGCCAACCCAACCCATGCAAACAACCTCCTCTCGGCCACCTTCACTTCTCTCTCTCTCACTAGCCAACTCCAACACCAATCCACTCCTATACCGCATCAAACAAACCATCCCACCATGCATGCCAACCTTCCTAAACCACCTCCTCCACTCATCCCTTCCCACCATCCTTCTGAGCCTCTAACTCCATGCACAACACCCACTCAACCATCTCTCTTCTCGGCATCCACCCTCAACCCAAACCACCTCACCTCTCAGCCACTATGCAGACCTGCATGCATGCATGCAAGCCCCATGCATGCATGCACCTCCATCTTCACTCACTTCCCACCATCCAACACCATCTCTCTGCAACCCTCAACCAAACACCAAACCAAACCCTCTCTGCCAAATTCTAGAGCACTCGAAGCCAAGCTTCGAGTGCTCGCCATTGCCCAAGCCCTCCACCCAAGCCAACCGAGCCCACTGCCCCATTTTCGAGCACTCAAAGACACCCTTCGAGTGCTCGAACCAAGCCTCCCTCTCTCTTTTAAAACCAAACCACCTCTCTCACTCGAATCTCCTCCTTCTCTTTCTTTTAAACCCATAAACCCATCCCCACTCCAAGCCAACTCCCTCTCTCTCGGCTCATCACCTTCCCTAAACCAACCAACCAACCTCACCATCCTCTTCACCTCTAGGCAAATTCCACCCATCCCCACCACTTAATCCGATGGCCATAGGGCCTGTGGATCTCCATTGTTAGGTGAGTTTCTTCCTTCTCTTCCTCTTTCACATTTTTGGTATAAATGGAGGATGGGCTTGCATGTAATGGAGATTTGTGATTGTTTAGGAGTCGTTATTGCAATTGCAGGGCCAAAAATTTTTGGGTTTCATCCTCCATCCCACTCATTTTCACCTTCTCCTTTTTGTGGTGCACGCCAGGTGTTCGCTGAAAGTCCTCAACCAAGTCCACCTCTTTAAATGTCTCGTGTCGGTCCTTCTCGCCCTCCTAGACCCTCTGCGGGTGCCCATGCTGTCAATCGTGAGCGACCACGTGATGCTTGGGATTGCAAACAACTCAACTATGAGCTTTCTTTTCCGCTCACGGATGCCTTTGATATTCTACCCACAACTTCGTGGGTTGTAGCCGAATTGACTAACCAGCGTCTGCAGCACATTTGCGCGCCCCTTGCCAGGGTTGCCTACCCCCGTGTAGTGCGCCTTTTCTACCAGAATCTCCAATGCCCTGAAGAGCCACCCATTTCTCTCACTACATCCATTGATGGCACCACCTATGCTTTCACTATGACTGACATCATTCAGGTTTCTGGTTACCCCATTGAGTGCCCCGATGACATTGTCAATCATGAGAATCTCCCTTTATATGAGGAGCCGGATACATTAACTATGGAGCAGATTGTCGCTGCCATTTATCCGCAAAACCAATCATCTGGAACACCTTTGGTTCATTGACACTGTTTTCAAGCACAATGTCTGCCCTTTGGTGCATAGCACCGAGCGTAGGGGCCTCCTTTTGCAAGTCTTATATGCCATGGACCAAGGCCAATGGTTCTCCATCCCGGAGCTCATTTGGACCACATTTATGAAGTTTGGCATGACGCTCATAATGCACGGGTTCCGCAAGTTGAAAATCAGAAATTGCCTTTCCCATTTTTCATTACTCGGCTCTTTCAGCACAAGGGTTTCATTGTTCCTCCCCATAAACCAAAAGGCGAAAAGATTAAAATTTTTACCAAGCGCCGTTGGATCAATGTTCTTAGCCATTCTAGTACCCCTCAGCCTGCTACCCCCCTGTTCATCCAAGCTCCACCTCCTCCTCCTTCTGAGGATGCTTCCACAGCAGCAGCCGCTGCAAGGGTAGAGCCTCCGGTCGACTCTCAGCAGGACCAGGCTTTCATCCGGGCTAGCATTGCCGGTATTCATGAGCGGATGGATCATTTTGAGAATACTTTGTCCGCGTACACTCGGACTATGTGTGAGACTTCTTCACGTGCCGAAGAAGATCGTCGTCTTGCTGCTAAAGACCGCCGTGTCGCAGCTGAGGAATGTCGTTTAGCTTCCGCCGAATGGCGTAAGACTCAATCTCTCCTCCATTCCATCCTCGCCCGTTTACCCTCTGGCCCGTAGCTTGTTGCGAGTGTTGGACCTTATCTTTTTGTTTCATATGTACATATTTCTCTTGTATCTTTTGTTTTCCTTTTGAACTTTCAGAATTTGCTATGTATAGGTTGCTCTAGTAGACATGATCTATGTACAGCTCTTTTGTAATTATGTAAAAACTCTTTTTGAAATGTAAATTCTCTCTTTTCTGTTAACTTTATGTACATTATTTTTCTGTACTTATGCTTGTGCTATTAATGCTTTTTGTGGTTATTTCTTTTTGTTCTTCGTGATGCTCTCCAGGTTGCGCTGTCCAATTCAAGTTTGGGGGTTTTGTTTCACCATGCCGTTTCCTCCCCCTGGGTATTTTTGTTCCTTTTTATACTCTTTGTTATTTTTGTCTCTAACTTACATCCATGTCCCACATTGAGGACACTGTGTAGTTTAAGTTTGGGGTTGCATCAAAGCATTCTTGGCATAGTTTTGGTATCATTTTTTTTGTAAAGCAATGATAGTGTAACTTGGAACTTGTCAGAGATAAAGCATATGTTTAATACCTTGTGTATAGAAGCAATTGAGAAATTTTTTAAAATAAAAAAATTTGAATTTGAAGTGATCATGCAAATATAATGTAGTCTGTATAAATGCATCAATTAGATTCTTGCTGGATTTACACTCTTATAAGCTTCACAATACACAGATGCACATTGGAAACTTAACTGTGAGGCATGCAACTTGATCAACCTTGACCTTGGCCTAGTTAATCTGATTTGATGAACCTGATAGATGAATATCTTTGGCATGATTTAAGTTGAAAAAAAAAATTAAAAAAAAAAAAAATATGAGAAAGAAAGAAAATAATGACCAGTTGAAGTTCGTAGCCTTTCCAACTCGAGCTATTAAGCCCTATGGAGTGTCTCTACACTTAACACCCTAAAGCCGTCTGGTTTGGGAGTTGTTGGCCTAACGCTTGCTACATGGGTTGGTTAGAAAGCTTAAAGGACTTAAACATTGCACGGTCATTCAAAAAATGTGTGTAATAAACATGGTTTGTTGGAATTCGTAGCCTTTCCAACTTGAGCTATTAAGCCCTAGGAGTGTCTTTACACTTAGCACCCTAAAGCCATCTGGTTTGCGAGTTGTTGGCCTAACGCTCGCTACATAGGTTGGTTAGAAAGCTTAAAGGATTTCAACACTGTACAACCATTTTTTGTTTCACTTTTCAGTCATAATAAATTCTTAACAGGCAACAAAAGTTGTCTAGAAAATAAAATCATGCCTTAGGGACTTCATGTAAAGGGGAATTCATTGATTTGAAAACTTGTGCCTTGGAATTGGAAAAGAAAGTAAAGGCCGCATGTTGATAATTCAATTCACTTTCACTGGAGTTTGAGTTATTTCCATTTAAGAGATGACAATTGAATTATTTATATGGACTATGATGTTGATACATGCATGTTGAAATGTGTTTAGTATCAATGCTTCATATATGCAAGGTAGTCTTCCCAATGACCCCATCTCCAGCTCTTTTTCTGTTTCAAGTTATTTTTGAGCTATGTATATATCTCATTTTACCATGGATTATATTTTTGTAGTAGCATGCCCATGGTTGTCTTTTCATTAAGTTTTTCATTATAGTATTGCTAAGGGACTAGCAAAATGTAAGTTTGGGGGTGTGAAAAGCGCCAAATACTGTATATTCAAGCGCCCTAAATTGCATTAGTTAAGTCCGTTGTTTGTTTAATTCTATAGATTATCTTCATTTGTGTGTTTTTATGCATTTTCAGGTTTAATTGCAAAAAGGGAGCAAAAATAAGCCCTTGTGGATTTTTGATCAACAATGTGCTCAAAAGCTGAATTTCTGGCAGCAGTGAAGCCCGAACTTTGTTCGCCATTTTGACCTAGAAAACTTAAGAACTGGACTTCCATAATAACATGAAAGATTTAGAACTCTGAATCAGCTTTCCAAATCTTCAAGCAGTTCATCATTCGGAGTTCGGAGGAGAGAGTTATGATCTTCTTAACAGAGGTGCGCAGAACTGCCTGGCAGCACTGAAGTACTGCTTTTCTCCCCATTTTCGACCAACCAGACTTGAGAATTGGGTCTTCATCAAAACATGAAGTTTTTAAAACACTGAATCAGGTCTCCAAATCTTCAAATAGATCATCATTCGGAGTTCGGGGCACAAAGTTATAGCAGTTTTACCAAAGTAGGTCAGTGCTGAGCAAGAAGAGCATGTTGCACATTACACTAATTTAGAGTGCTCGAGACCACTCTTCGAGTGCTCGAAAATCAGGTAGATTACACTCGGAAATGGCTCAATTTCAGCCACTTGCACATTGGTTTCCTCAATGCCATCTTCCTTCTTTATGAAGTGGTTGGAGGTGTTCCTTGGAGGAGAGAGAGCCTTGACTTGAGCTTGATATGAGAGAGGAAGGACCACACAAAACATTATCATATATTCTACAGGATTAGAGGAGAGAGAAGAGAGCAAAAGAGGTGTGTTCTTCAAGCTCCAAGAAGGTTGCATGAAAATGGCCATGAAGATGGAGCTTCTTCCTTCTTCTAGCTTAGCAATGGGTAACTAACTCTTTCTCTAGGGAGGTGATGAAGTCCCTCCCTTGTAAGTATGTCCTAGGGTAGTCTATATTGGGGGATTGCAATGTATATTTATGGTCTTTTTCATAGCTAAGAGCACTTCATTTGGTGTAATGAATGTTTATATATGTATGGATGATTTCTTGAAGCTCATTATCTTATGTTAGGTGATGTCTTGTATTAATCTTTTTGCTTGAGTTTACATGGTGAGAATGGAAACAAGGTTATGAAATGATTTAATGGCATGTTGATAGGTGACTTTGATAGACCATTGTTTAGGAAATCCTTTGATGGTGTATGCTTAATTTCTAGCTCCATGTGCTTCATCATTTTGTTAAGAATTTGATAGTCTTTCATTTAAGTAAACGTGTATAAGCTACACCTTAGTTAGGTAGTCTAAACATGCTTACCCTTTTGATGGATTATACTTGTTTGAGACCTAATGTACCTCTTGATTACTTACATG